CCCCAAAACCCCAAAACCCCAAAACCCCAAAACCCCAGTTCTGTGATGTCATCAAGATTTGAGTTTAATACGACAGAAATCTATTAGGAATAGTATTCTAATTGATTAAACGTCAAGTTAAAGGAATGACGTATGAATTAATAAAATCTATATAAGGCTTAAGAATTTGAAGTTTATAATTTAATAAACAAAACATAAATGCTAGCAAGATTATAAAGTACATCTATCCAACTACTAGAGACTGTTGTTAACCATCTTGACAACTACGAAGGTGTTTAGAAGAGACAGAGAAGATTTGCCAAGAGAGATTAAGCCGAGGCTGAACGTGAAAAGGCTACAGATGAAGATGAAAAGAAAAAACCAATGATTGCTGACGATGAGGTTGATGACGTCGAGGATGACCATTCACAACTAGAGGGCATGTAAAAATTCAAGCACCTTAGCTTTGAGCTCATTGATATTGGTCTCTTCTTCGGAGAGAAGGGGGTCACAGCTGTCCAACACTCCAAACCATACCAGATCACTGATAAGTATGTTCACCTAGAGGAAAGAGCCAAACAAGTAGTAGAAAACAGTGAAAAACTCTACAGATTCCTTAATGATAAGGTATATAGCCCACTCAAGAATTAATTCTATGTCATTTTTGACCAAGCTAATCAGAAGATTTCTGTCTTTATCAATGTTCTTAAAGAGCATTAAGTAAGAGTTGCTGACTACATCAAGATCCATTACGACAATGTCTAAGTTATGGTTCAGGACAACTGGTTGAAGTTAGACTACAATCAAGATGGCAAAGTTTCAGCCTAAGATCTCAGACAGAGTGTCAAGGAGCTATATTCCTTCGTTGTTAACTACAACTACTACCTTAAGGCACATGAGATTAAAAACAAGCTCTATCATGAAGCCATTAAGTACATGCAGAAGGAAGTCGACAGAGAAGAGAAGGAGCATGAATCTCATGCCGATGAGAGTGCCCCCGCCAAGGAAGATGATGATGTCCTAAGCGATTGATCCCTTTTCCTTCCAAATGTTATTTAGTTAGTTAATCAAGCTATATTATAAATATTTCGCTTAATAAAGTTAATTTGATAATTGTATTTATTTATTTAAACTGTTATAATAAGCATGGGTTAGTGCTGCACACCACAAAGAGCAAATAATAAAGTTAATCCAGACACAAGTCCCGTAGATAAGACTTTGTTAACAAAGAGTATGACTTCTTAACCCCCATATCCATCATAATTCTAATTAATAATAATCTTTTCTTTACCAGCAGGTTCAAATTATGATTTGACATTGAGTAAAAAGCAATTTGTGTTTGAGCATGCGAGTGATAATATAAGAGAGGATTATCTGATAGGCAAGGTGCTCGGCACAGGTAGGAATTTTTAGATGACATTATAATCATTTGTTTAGGCGCTTTTGGAGAGGTGAGATTATGTACACACAGAAAAACAGGGGCTAAAAGAGCTGTGAAAATAATTAAAAAAAGTTTTCTTAAAGGTAAAGAAGAAGTTCGCTTTTTGTCTGAAATCGAAATCCTAAAATAGATGGTATACTTTGATGGAGCTTTTTATTGATATATAGGATCATCCCAATATTGTAAGACTGTTTGAAGTCTATTAAGATCCTAAAAGGTATTTCATTGTTACTGAGCACTGTTCTGGTGGAGAGCTTTTTGATTAGATTATAAAACGTCCATATTACAGTGAGAGGGATGCAGCACTAATTATCAAGCAAGTTTTAGCTGCTATCTCTTATTGTCATTCTAAACACATCGTCCATAGAGATCTTAAACCTGAGAATCTGCTTCTAGAATCAGAGGGGCAAGGTTCAATCAAAGTTATTGATTTTGGAACATCTCAGGTATATGATCCAACCATAAAAATGCATTAAACATACGGAACACCATACTATATTGCTCCAGAGATCTTGGCAGGAGAGTATACAGAAAAATGCGACATCTGGTCATGTGGAGTTATCCTTTACATTCTTTTATGCGGACGACCGCCTTTCGATGGTGAAAACGATGATGAGATTCTTGAAAATGTAGCTAAAGGTGTGTACAAAGTAAATCTAAAAATATCCATTTTATAATATTTTAGGTAAGTGGACCCATTTGGTCTCGAGTATCAGCAGAAGGGATAGATCTCGTTAAAAAAATGCTTAACTTCGATTAAGAAAAGAGAATCAGCGCTAGTTAGTCAATTTAGCATGCTTGGATCATCAAGAACACTGAGAACATAATCATAGATGAAATCATCAATTCTGAGGCTTTGAAAAATCTAAAAGACTTTAACGCTAGTACTAAATTACAGCAGGCAGCTTTGACTTTTTTAACTACTCATTTAACTACCAAGGAGGAAATGGCTGAAGCTTAAAGAGCGTTTTAGGCACTTGACAAAAATAACGATGGCAAACTTTCCAAAGCAGAGTTGCTAGAAGGATTTGCAGAGACTATGGGCTAAGTTGCTGCTGAAATTGAAGTTGAGAGAATTATGACTAATGCTGATTTGGATAAAAATGGTCATATTGATTACTCTGAGTTTATAAATGCTACGATTGATAAAAGAGGATTACTTTCCAAAGAAAGACTCAAGACTGCCTTCTAGCTGTTTGATAGGGTAAGAAATGAAACATTAAGGCGTTATAATATTTACCGTTAATATTTATATTCAAATTTATGGTAACTTATTATGTATAGGACGATAACGGGTTTATTAGTGCGATGGAGCTAAAGTAGGTATTAGACCAGGGTAAAAAGTTTGATGAAAAGGTGTGGGAAAAAATGATATCTGAAGTCGATTTTAATGGAGACGGTGAGATATCGTACCAGGAGTTCGAAAGAATGATGGAAAAATTACTGAAATGAACGACTTTCAATTCATGCTACTTAAATATATCTAACTTCTCCAAAAGATAACATCGAGATAAACGTCAATTCTATATATAGCTATTTGAACTTTTCTTCCAATAATTTATCTTATTTTTACTGATAATTAAGTTATCTATTTCAGCTTTTTTAGAATTATTAGGCTCATGGGGTTTTGGGGTTTTGGGG